CTAATCTTCAAGTATTCTTTCTCAATGAGGTCAACAATATTGCGAGAATCAGTCTCCAGTATACCTACTGAAGATGACACATCTGGTAGCGACTCCGAGAGCTGGAAAACGAAATACTCAGAAAGCAAGAATGAGGTAAAATTTTATTGAGCACCTATGATTTACTCATCTCTACAAACGCCGAATGCTTACAAAGAGACATTAGCATGCAAAAACGAACTTAAAAGTAATACCTGAGAATATAACTGGTGATTTCCTTTCGTAACGGCGAAAATAATATTTGCTTTACGTTCCTTGATCATTTGATGAAGTAAAGCAATGGAGGGATAGTCCTTCAACACAATTGATAAAAATAGGACCAAATGACACACTATGTTCCTCACTCATAATACATGGAATTCCACGTGGTGTCAATCATCCTTGAGCTCAGGTATCGTAAATAAGCAACACAAATGCCATACCTGTTTAAGAGTTTCCGTGTAGTAACCTTGTCGATCGAGATGACACTCTCCATCATTCGGCTCCACCACTCCGGCAAGCTTAAGCAAGGGCAGCATTAATTCATGCAAATTCCCCGATAAACAAAAAAAAAAAACTTACCCGGCCATCACCAGCAAAATGAAATCCAGCGTCTGTCGAGAAGACAAGCATTTTACGAGCACGCTCTCTCCATCCGATTTTATGCTGAAATTGTAAAGCCAATCAGAAATGAAGGAATTCTCAGTGAACACATCAACAGCTCGTTAATTACCAACTCACATTACACGCCAAAGCCTGCACTACGGCATCGAATCCTCCTTCGGGTGCGTCAAGGTTACCAGAAATTTCTGCTTTGTCAACTTCAGCCTTAAACAGTTCTTCGAAAAATAAATAGCGGAAACACAACCCTTTGAAAGATAACTAACCTTGAATTTTTCTGTATTAGTGGTCAAAGTCATCTGATGCTTAAAACCGTAAGGTTCTGCACATGGCTCTGCACAGGGGGACTTTTGCCTGAAATAACCATTTGAACTAGGACGTAACTCGCAGACTGAGAAACATGTGTGAGTTATTTCATCGGTATCAGGTAATGAAAGTGAACAATCTAAATTCTACCTCTGATAGAGTAAGTCAATAGAAATGCATAGTGTAACACATTCTGACCACTTGATAAATGAGAAAGAACTTAAATCTTAGATTTCGAATCTTAAAGGTTTTCATGAATCCCTTGCTAGAATTCTATTTAGAGTAGCACAGAACACAACCTCACATGAAGTGTACCAGCTTAGCATCACAAATCACAAAACAACAACTTACTTTTCAATCCGCGGGTCAATAAACGGCATAAGTTTCTTGTCGATGAATGAACCAAATCCAAGGCGGAAATTCTTAGTAATATTCCGCATGCGAACAGCTGAAAATGTCCAAACGATAAGAAGAAACCCTGATTGGCAGTAGAGCTGTTTGACTATCGAAAAAAGAAAGCCTTGTTGATACACTGAAGAGCGCCTACCAAGCAAATCGCCAAGTTCAGAAAGTTTCTGTTTGTCATCTTTCATTGAGTATGATAAATCCATAAGATAATAGAGATCAACAGGATAATCAACAGCTTGGCGATAAGTGACGTTAAAGCGAACACGTGACTCTGCAAAAGAAAGGGATGTTTAAAGCTCAAGCATCAAGAAAATCGTTAGCATCTCTCATTGTAAAGCTTCCCACTGACTTGGTCGTATCTCAACAAACATTTCTTGCGGCTTCAGCTGAACGGCATCATCTTCGTTTTCCACCTTTCCTTTATCAGAAAGGGGATCATCCTGAATGGTCACAAGTATAGCAAAACCAGCTCCTCAAACATGACTAACCCAACAAGTATATTCACGTACCCTTTCCACTTCGAGAACCGTTTGTGGGTCCTCAATGAAAGAATTAGGACAGCCGTGCTCCAGTAGTCGTGCACGATTGTCACACCTGGCGTACTGCTTCTTTGCATCGAACAGCTTGAAGGAGACAAAATTACACCAAAAATTAACCATAAAATTTTGTTTCAAAAAAGAGTTCATCAAAAGTGAGAGAAATTGCTAATGAAAAAGAGGAAGAAAAGAAACGAAAGAGGACTTACAGGTGCTCCACACCAAGCGCAAGAGTCGTGCAGTTGGATGCAAGCGCTACAGGTATAATTGTCTCGTGACAATGAGTAGCATGGAAAGTCTTTTCTTCCTTCAACGACTTCGCCGGTCACTAAACATGCATTTCTATAGATGCCCAAATGTATCGCAGACCTGTACTCAGGTAAACACTCTGCCGACAGTTAAAACACTCGAGAGACACAACTATGCGGATGTTCCCATTGAATTCATGAATCACCACATGTATCTTATTTCGTAGCTAGTTACACCAAAGGTACATTTCAATATTCATTACTTCGCGCTCATATGCAATGACACAAGTGGTGCAAGACATGAGGTAGTACGACACCACAGATCGGATTAACTTCAACGCCATCTATGGGTGCATGTGAGTATGAGAGCAGTGAAAGTGAATTTAGCTTACTCCGACGAAATCATTCGGCGAATTGGTGGCAATTTCGAGATGCCATCATTTTAGAGCAAGTAAAGTAAATCTAAATTCATAACCAACCTTCACCGGTTTTCCAATCGCTGACATCAGCCCCTGATACTACAACTACTAAGCACAATCCAAATATAAGCAGGCGCATCCTCTGAAGCAGTCTCTTTTTAAATTAATCATCTGAAAGAAGACAAATAGAGCAGCTCAAACTCACAAAGCGAGCTGCCCTGGGGCTCCGATGCAGGTCCGAATTGATAGGCAAGTGGCGCTGGAATGTGCCTGCCGCTGAGCACCTGCGACGGGATTACCTGGAACGAAATTGAGATTAATGAAAGAGGTAAAGTTAACTGGTCAATAACTATGCGGGCTTGACGACAAAAAAAGCTAACAAGTGCCATGAAGACAAGTGGTATCGTTCGTGTCAAAGTGAAATAAGAAATTGGCGGAAGTAAATAGCGTGAGTATTGATTAGCATCTGATCCCGCGATTCGGTTATAACCGCTAGGCGTAGAATTTTCAAGTAGAAATTCGCTCTCCATTCTTTTGCTCCATCGATAGGTGATTTAAAAAAGAGATTTGGTACAACAAGCACAAAGTATTCAGCATAAAATAAGCAAGCAGTAATTCCCTTTGATCGGTGAAAAACAAAACGGAGTGTGAGGAAAACCAAGAAAGCTGTGGCACATTAAAACAATTAGAAACAGAAGGTTCTATGTTCTTTGGGTGATGCAAAAATTGAGCAAAATTTCTATCTATTACAAAAATTAGTTTATATTAGGCCCTGTATGGAAGCAGATTGCTGTTCGAAGTCATGAATAGATGATTCAAAGAAGGGAGGATCAAAAACGAGGTAGACTTTGCGAAGGAACGAACAGAAATGCGCCCCTCTGAGAGACTCCCTTTCATCGTTATTGAAATCAAGGAAGAACTCACACAAGTCAAATGACGTAGACATTCAATCCCCAAGATGAAGATAATGTGGTATCCAACCACATTCAAAAAAAACCAGAAAGAAAGAGGAAACGCCGGTGTCTTGGGAACTAGGGGAAGGCTGCCAAAGGCTTCTGAGAAGATTAACAGAAGAGACTAGAAAAAAAGGCATCCTGGTTATACAAGAAAGCATAAACTAACGTAGAAGCAGAAACAAAGGACAAGCAAATGTCATGTTGACAACTTTTTAGAAAATTATTGCAGAAATGACGTTGTGCAATCTATTCTGGGTCCGTTGACTGGTACTGGAAGTGCTCGTGCATTCGAACAAATAAGTTTGGATGCGTTCATAGTAACTGTGTTTTTACGCTGATATGCGCGTTTTACGTAGACTGCGTAAAATTGCAGGTACTACGAATGCGCGCATTTCAAAAAAAGTTGGATGCGACGCATGCCTTACCCCACAACGAGACTGATCAGCGTCAAAAAAGCCTATCCTTCTACTGAGCTTAGAATAAGGCTCATATCGACCATTATGTAACTTTACAACTGGCATCAAAGAAGTAATAGAGGGAAATCTGCTTTTATTAGTCAAACACAGGATCTCCATAGAAGCCACGTTGCTAGGAGAGAATGGAGATCACTGGCATCAGCAGAGGGACTATCAATACAGCAACGCGATGCTCCGACAGTGGAGTAATCCTGTTCCCAAGCAAGAATGAAAATCTAGGACCACTGCTTACAAATTCATATCGAAATCCCACAACTTGTCAAGCTAGGCGTAAAATAACAAGTATTAATTGCACAGTAGTGTCGTAGTGCGTAAGCAACAATGGGTACGGTAGGGATTCAAATCCGGGACCGTAAGGCATGCTCTCCTGTTCGGGGCTGGGACGTCCCGATTCGGGACTCTCTCTCCCTGCTCCTCCCAATAGCAATTATCTCTCTGCTCTCCCTGAGAGCATACCTTACCGGGAAGGGGACCCTCCCCTGTTCGGGTGAGCATACCTTACGGGCCCTGGGCTAGTGCTTGATATTTGCCTCCCACGATCTACAAAACGAGTAACTTAGGGTTGGAAATACGTGCTTACCAGCGTTCATTTTTCGCTAGAGGTACCCAACCGAACAAAAAATGTTTTGATTATTCAAAAAAGTAGGTGGGGTAGATGAATGGTTACATCAATAAACATTAGAACCACTGAAAGTTTAACGAAGTTCCATGCACAAAACATTGAAAAAAAAGATCGATTTTTCATCGTTGTAGTGGCGTAGGTGGTCCAAACGAAAGCACCAGCCAGCTTGCACACACAGTGTAACTAGGAGACGAGCAGGCTCAAACATGCAGTGGGGGCGAAGGCTTGGAATCGAAATATAATAATAGCCTGGAGAATAACAACCTACACTTAACGGGCACCATGAAACGACTGAATTCGGACATTCAACGATGACTCAACTGTGAAAAGATGAATGAATCACATGTCCCCTATCAATCGATTAAGGCGCTACTGAGAAATCAATTGGTCCTTGGGAAAAATGCGAAAGATCTGTGAACAACTTATACACAAGTGCGAAGGGAAAAGAATTGAACTTCCTGTACTTCTGAAGAGGGTGAGTTAAAAACAACAATTTTCGTGCAAAAATCCGTCTTAGAAAAGGACAGTAGGGATGGAAAAAGTGCCCGCCTGTCAAAGCGGATTACTCCGACCACTTTGGAGCTGCACTTTTTTGGGTGAACCCATAGTGAAGGATGCAATGGAGTCTGCCGAATGGCCCAGCCAACTGTTTCCTCGACCTATTGATTCGGCTAGCAAGAGTACGAGAACAGCGTGCAGCCCGTGGAGACGCACAGCCATCGCTGACCGCAGCCGTGCGGGGGCGGAACCCCGGCAGCTCGGCTCTTGTTATATGCCATTGTACAGCTTCCCACGGACAAAACTATGAGAGCTGGCGATGACAGTCAGCTAACTTGTGGGGGATTTCCATTTCTCATAGGAATTTCTGCGAAGTAAACGATAAACACATAAACAACAGTTGTTCGAACGCCCACGCGAACAAAAAGGATGAAGTATAAGGTTTTCAGCGTTGATCAGTGCCATTTTGGAATGCGCCCTGCATTCAACTTCCACTGTGAATCATAGTGGCGTATTAAGTGTGTAGTTGGCCGTTAATTTAGTTGCCGTGGCCAGCAGATGCGCGAGCCAATGCTTCCATCCTTTCGGGCGAGTCTGGTACCAATTAATCGACCCGGGAGGGATAGAAGGCTTGATTGTCATGGACGATAATAGGTCCAGATTCAAACCGAAGGCCGTGCGCGTGCGATAGTGAGCCAGTAGCCACGACACCATCTCCTTTCCTCTCATTCGTGTATGTAAATGTTAAATGTTAAAAATAACAATGCTTGCTATGGAAATGAGTAGTCTAGAACCGAGTGGCGCACTTTCACACGCATGATTAAATCAGAGCCTAATATGTGTCCACGCCAAACAAGCCTTCCATTACTCCTTTCTCAACTAGTTGTTGATAGGCTTACTTGAAAGAATAAAAGCACACTGGCTGTAGTACGCAGTATGGACTACATACCTCTCAAAACCTCATTAGGATTTTGTATAGAAGTCAGAGGCGAGGCTGATCCTAAAACGGGGTTGTTTAACGCAAATTAATCATTCTCTGTGCCTTTCATGGTGATGAGACATTGTTTGCAAAGATTTTTGCATTAACGGCAAATAAGCTGCCATCTGGCAGGTATGTGAGGAAAAACTTACCAGATTCGGAAACAACTTCATTCTCGCTTGTAACAATTTCCCATACTCTACTAGTATGCACGAGTCTCCAATATAATTGGTGAGAGAGATTGCATCTTTTATAGGGGTAGCAACGATAGACTTGCTAAAGTTCCAATACAAATGTTCCAGTTGCACTAATCGTTCCAGCTAATCTCGCTTGTCTGGGTGGTCAGAATAAATAATAATTGATAATAATTATTATTATATTAATAATAGTATCTGCATCACCTACTAACCCATTAATATGCATGTCCTTTATCCGCGTAGAGCACCTTCAGCGTTTTAGAAAACATTCGGATGCATGATAGAGCCAATTCAGGCTGTCTACTTATATTATTTATATGCTCGCCGCACTCTGGTATACCATTCAAAAGCAGTAAAATAAGGAAAAACGAAACGTAAAACTGTAAATACAGTCATTAATTCATTTCCAGTTGAACAGGCGGTTGAAGAAAAACGACAGAACAAGTCCTTCAGGCAGTCTCCTAAATGAAGCGCAGATGTTATCTGTTTCACGGCACAAGGAGGCGTCAAAAGTTTGTCTTGTTGAGAGGGAAGGGGGTCTAAACCTTCAAAATACTTCAAAACTCAACTACCTTCCCGCAGTCATTTTGTAATTGTACGCCTTTAAAAGCTCACAACTAAATAAAATAAATTTTACGAAAGCAGTTCTATTGAAATTCAATCGGGATCTTTTTGCCAATTTTGGTTCTACGCGCTATTTCTTGCGTGAGAAGAACGTTGGCGAGAAATCTGAGTTGTCTCGTTATAACACAAGAGCTCCTAGCGTTTCAATAATTTATAATATTTACACTGAAAGGGTATAACAATGTGAAACTTTTAACTGAATTGAAATCCTGAGACTACTGTTGTCCTCATTTAGAAGTGAATTTCTTCTCCATATATCCATGAGAACGCTGAAGAGATTTCTTGTTGCTTTGCAGGCGATGTTCGACGGTGAGATCACTTGCGGCACTGTTAAGTTGGCTCCTACAAAATTGTGTTTTTCAAAGTGTTGATGCTAAAGTGAGGAACCGCAAAAAAGAGAACCTTATGAAGCTCGGAGCTTTGTCTCTCATATCTTCCTCATCTTCCTTTTCTTCAGCCAATTTGGCCCGTTTTAAGTTTGAGTTCCGTGTAGATTGCCGCCATGCAGCATTTTCACTCATTTCTCGCAACTTCGCTTGTTTTTCCTCTTCCGTAAGTGGACGACGACGCTCCGGTTTCTGTAAGAGTGACAATAAACAAAGCCTTGAATACAGTAGTAAGCGCAAAACAAGGTTCCACTACGTTGACTGAAACTTCCTTAAAGCATCTCATCGAAGGGTGTTTCAAATATGTGCTTGTATGGCAAACCGTAGTATGAAACGAAGGAGCACTTTAGAACAGGCGACTTTCTCCAGATGGAGATTCACTTGGCGCGATGCCCTAGAGCGGGTATTGCTCACACAGACTAGCCTAGCGGCCGAAAAACCGTTTCATAACACATGGGAAATAAAGTAAACAAGAACTGTTCGGACCCACAAAAATCACAAAATCATTGTTACCTGGTACACCGGAAGAGCAGGCTTCCTTGACAGTTCGTATGGATTCTCAGTTGGTCCACTTTCATCATGCTTTTCTTTTTCTTTTACCTGAAGAGATTCTTCATAAGAAAAAAAAGCAACAGACCAGACCCTAATTCTTGACAAACCCCAACAAGGCCAAATCCTTCAAAACGCTTCTTGTGCTCCCGTTCCCTGCGATCGAATTCGTCCTCCGTATCGTCGTCATTGTCAGAGGCAAAGTTCTATAATGGGAATCTAATTAATCATGTCAATGTAAAAATATGTACACCACTCATTACATTACTTATTAGAACTGTCAGGAGCACTAGCATCATAAAGCTGAAAACACTGGCCAACCTTTGGCCGGAGATGTTCAGGTATGTGAGAGTCGAAAGCTCGTATTTGTTTAGGATCCTTCCGCTCTTCTTTCGACGTACAGCTGAAACACTGCTCATTTCTAGGAAGCCTATGCAGGGAAATAGAAAGAGGTGATAACGTACGGATCTTCTGATTCGTGAACTACAGCTTTTTGCGGTTTCTCAGTATCGGCTTGTGAAGGCTCAGCAGATGTGCCGTGATGGTTTCTTTCACCACACTCTTTAGTAGCGGTCCTTCTGATAATCCTAGAAGTTGCTGGGGAAGACGATGAAGAGGACGAACTTGTAGATGAGCTATTTCGATTACGACTTCGTTCATTCCTTCTTTCGCGCGATCTTCTGCTTCTAGTAGTTGGTGACCTGCTTCTCCTTTTTCTTTTCGGTGATACCGATGAGCTATTGCGTCTTCTCTTCTGTATGGATTGTGAATGACGAGAAGTCGCTGATGAATCCTTCATTCGAATATCTTGGGAAGGCTCCGATTTTTTCCGCCGTTCCCTCGATACGGACCTCTTACGGCTGCGATCATTTCGTTTTGATGAGTATCTTCGAATTAAATCCGGAGAAGAAGAAGAGCTACTGCGACGACGTTCCCGTCCCAATTTTGAACCATTCTTCGTCAACGAAAGCGACTTCTCTCGCTTACGGTCTGAATCTATTGATGAATCCATTGAAGAAGAAGATCTGCTTCGATGCAATTTTCGCTCCTTATGACGAGAACGGCCGGATTGAGACCTGTCTCTGTCCTGGCGTACTGGCGATTTCGAAAGTACTGCCTTTACCGTTCTATCAGTACTCCTGTGTTTACGATGAGATTCTCGTTCTGTGTCCGAAGCAATGTCGGATCCATTCCGTGCTCTCTGAAAAATTCTGCCGACTTATACATCTTTGCCATGTAATGCTGTTGACGCACAATTTTTGTCCTATTCAGAAGCAATCATAATTTTCATTTTTTTTTTGTTTCTAAACATAATGCCACATTCGAGATGGACCAATGATACCTCAGAGCGAGAATCCTTCCTTTTTGGAGAGCCTTTCGCTGAATTGTTCTTTTCCGATGAACTTCGAGCTTTCTTTTTCTTCTGAAAGGAGTATAAATTTTGAAGCCCTCAATGATAACCATAGCAATCCATTAGAACAACCTTTTCTTTTTTCTCCTTTCCACCGTCTTTAGCTTTCTTCTTCTTCTTCTTTTTCTTCTTTTCACCCTTCGCTTCCTTTTGCGCCATCATTTCTTTTAACATTTTTTGGAATTTAAACTTCACCAACGGATTTTCAAGAACTTCACGACGACGGGTCTCTTCTTTGACCTAAAGGAAAGTTCTTCATTAAAACATTATGATAAAAATATCAGGTTGTTCCAAGAGACCCACCACAGTATAGCATATACAATGTTTTTATATCAAATCATTTGGACACAATCGTATTCACCGGCGACTATCACTATTGACACGTTCAAGTAGCTCAGAAGAAAAGGCACTGGTAAGTGTTAGCTGACAGAAGGGACTGTGCCAGAGTGGATGCTTCAAAGTAACACACGAATACCCCGTAACGTTGCAAGCATGTTGGCTGAATGACAGCGGCACTTCTTAACATTCGGTGGCTGCAGGCTTTTCGACCAAGTAAATTGAATATTGGTGAAAGAAGAAATCCTAACCTTAACAGCAACCAAAGGATCTTCCGTCGCAACAACATAACTCTCCAGTGCACTTGTTTTCGTAGATGAAGGCTGTGGTTTGAAAACCGTGCTGAAAATACTATAGGTATTCTGCAACCTAGGCGTGGTCGGATTGTCAATGAAACATATGTGCCGAAGGATGCCGAAGGCAAGACAACCTTCGTAATTACTCTCCAAGAGCATTCATGGATTTTTCAATTTGAATGACTAGTCGATAATACCAGGCTTTACAGTAATCATTTGCAAATAAACACACCGAGTATGTAGAAGAGCATCAAACGCATCGGGCTTTTGCTCATTCACTGCATCAGAGTACTTTTCGAAGTTTTTATCGACCTAGAAAATTCCATTATCAACGAATTTTTCAAATGGTAGCTCGTGATTTTTCCGGGAAACCTTCAATCAACCACATAATATTATATGATACCCTATTTTAAAAACACCTTGTCGAAGGTGTGACTCACTCACAAAAAGTCAAAAAAGCCTTCTGCTTGAAGCAAGTATAGTAACCTAATCAAACACCCAAGGACAAAGGATTTCTGTCAACAAAAGAAGAAGAAAAAAGTATTATTCATCAAACCTCCTTCTTTCAATTGCACTGATTTCTATAAAGCTACCATAAATGTTAAAAAAGATTCTATAATAATATAATTATTGTAGTCGAACCAGCCTTCTTTCCCAAAAGATAGTCCTCCCGATTGACAAGAGACTTTGCTCCTTCGTACATCCATCCGATGTCGTTCTTGTCGGTCATTATTCACTGGAAAAAAGTTGACCTGAAAAGCGAACTCGATTTTTTGAAACGATCAAAGGAACTGTAGCAATCGGCACGATTTTTCAAACGGTAAGGGAAATGCAGCGGGATTCGGTCAAGGCCCAAGGATAAAATAACAGTTATCTATCAAAGAGGTTTTAAAATGGTGACACAGAAAAGAAAAGGCTTCCGCTAGAGGAAACAAAAAAAAANAAAAAAAAACACACAAAACAAAAAGCTCCCTTCGAAAAAACAAAAAAGTCATCAATCGACTTCCTGCGGTTGCGCAGCGCCGGCTAATTGAAGCTCGTTTTTTAACTTTTTTTTAACTACCTGTGAGGGACCTGAACTTATCAATCGTAAAAGGGTTCCCGAAATGTTTTCATTTATTTTCGTTTAGCAAACTATGGCTTTCGGATCGTGAACTGTAGAATGACCTTTAGATCTCGTGATTTCAGATACAAGGATACTAGAAGCTACTTTATCCTTTTTGGCCTCATTCTTTGCCAGCTAGGTAATAAGATAGTTTAGCACATATGAAGGTAAGGATACGATACTAGGTGACTTTTGGGGCTACTCCAAATACGAAAAATGTATGACACACAAGAAAAAATAATGCCCTCCTAAGCCAGTGCCGCTACGCAGCCGCAGGAAACTGCACAAGAAGTTTTTACCTAGGCCGCAAGATTTGTAGTAAGTTGGCAGCAAAGTAACTGCATACTTTTTAAAACCCTCATACATTTGTCTTGAATTTTGACTGACTACCTGTTCTTTAAAGTGACTCATATCAAGGAGTAGGCGCCTCAAAACTTTATTGTCGACATATAATTGAATGGATACTTTTTCGTTAGAAAAGGTGTTTATATTCTCCTGCAGCATACGCAGTTACTTAGCTGTCAACCTAACTGTTCTTCTTTGAAAAAAGGGTTCCAGTTGAAATGATCCCAACGCAACGTCATTTCACCCTAGATGGCAGGTGAAATTATTGTCACGTGGGTGGTCGTTCGCCACGTTGCTCGATCCACCTCCCCTTATATTCTTACGAATCTTTAGGTCGTTCAAATACGTTGGGTATGTTTTCTAGATAGACCTTTCATGGGGTTAGCTTTCTTAAAGAAATCTTGATGATGCTGTTTATTTTGTGAAAACGTGTTCGAGTCAATTTTGCCTTTGTTCTAGTTTTTTTTTGCCGCTTTTTATACACAGTCATTTTTGAGACCTCATTTTTTGGGTAATCTAGTCGATTTGAAATCGACTTATGTCGACTTTTCGATCGCATAATTCTCGTTGTTCCAGCTCGCATCATAGATTCTTAAGAAGTTGTCTTCCTGCTTAAATTACCTCACCCAAATTAAGCAGTATTCTTCAAAAATTCTTATAAAAGCAAGATCCTCAAATCTAGAACAGTACATGCATCCGTTAGTTTTCTTCTGATCGTACTTCCTTATCAGAGGTCAGGACTCGGTTTACATACCGCTACGGTATGCTTCTCTCTTACATTCATACAATGAACTTCTCTTATCTTTTGATTTCTTCTAACAATGGTTTTGATTCAGATTCGTGTTTTTGTCGAACATCGATAGCGATGGACTCGTTCGAGCCTCCTTCTCCATCACGTTCTCGATTCCTCTTCATTATTTTATTGATTTTGTTGTTTAATGCCTACTTCTGAGTTGTTATTACTACCGGTTTCATTAGCAATTTATTTTTACTTGAATTCGCAGAAACCCAATCTGTCTTGCTTTTCTTCAGTGTTTGTCGCGCTCAGAAATGTGGTCCTATTTTTGGGGCTGAATGCTAGGTGTGGGCGAAGGCCAACTTCTTTCAATCATCATGCAGGATATCAATAAACTGCTGCTTTGGAGGCACCTTAGACCGTTTTCCGGATACATTAGGAAAATTCTGTCTGCCAGGGAATGAATTCAAATTCAGAGCATCGTCTTCTGCTATGATAATTTCCAACACCGTATTTTCAAAAAGGTGTCCATTTCGAAGTTGGACCATGACATAACGGATTTTCCTGCAGTGAGCCGGAAAAAATAGCGGGTATTTCAGCAAGTTTATGTTACCATGAACGGTGGCGACGAGGTCTCTAATCACCTTTTAATGTGTGCTCAGCTGCTGGTAGCGAGGGCCCGGATTTCCATGCGCGATTGATACTTCTACTTTGATAGTCGTTGGTTAGATTGAAAGAAGAATTCGGGCTAAGCAGCCCGACTTACTCCTTCCCTAACGAAAAATCATGGAACATTTGGAAAACCTCCCGAGGCTGCATGCTATGCCTCCCCAGTCCACAAATCGGCGTGACGCTCTGGCTATCATTTCACCTGCATTTACTTTCATTTGGTAAACAATCGGCAACTTTCACGGGCGAACAACGCATACATCCACTCAAAGCTCTCGACTTTGCTGATTTGGGCTGGTAAAGAATGCTGTACACAAAATTAGGATGAAGGTGTTGCTGTGTGGACAGTTTCCATGGAAAATCATCAAATAAATGTTTGATGACTAATTGCGTCAACACTTAAGGATCAAGCCACTATGCAGCTTGATAAGCCGTTGCAGTGGCTTCTGAGCCTTTTTCACCTGCTTCCTCTCTTCGGAACGTTAGAAAAATGGCCGGCCAGCCTTGACTTGTTGCATTGCCTTTCCATTCCGAGAACCATTTCAAAAGTTCTTCTGTTACATTTTTCTTCAACTGTTTGAGTTCCTTTCATCGGCAATTATTACGGAAAAGGAAACGCAAGCAGTTCAATTTAACCTTCAACTCATGACGCATCTCTTTACTTTCTTTTACTTCTAATTTGTTTAATGTCTCATCATTGCACTGTCATGGTATAATACACTATCCTTTGCCGCTTAAGGTGGTGTGGTAGACACTTACACCAAGGAAGATTGCAACCAAAATTGGGGTTTGCTGGCCTGAAGCCCAGGGAGTTTAAGGGCAATACCTGGACATTAGCCGAACCTGTTCGAACCTAGATTAAATGCTGTGAACCGCGCATTGTTAAGTATCTGTGTTTGATTGAATCGTGGGAACGATGTTCGAAGTTGCTACCTCTCCATTTGTTGTTTTACATATATATTCTTTTCGTTATATTTTTCTTTTGAAGTTCAGAATCTCATGGCTAGCATATCAATAAACTTTCAGGATGATAGGAATGAAGGCCATCGTTGTTTTGTCGCTGGTTGCGCTTTCGGCCTCGAGTGATTCCGAGAGCAGGGAAAAGCTTCGGCAAGTCGAACATCCTCCTATACTCGACGAACAACATCCTGACGTTGCTGTTGATTCGATTCCTAACCCTTCACAAAAATCTTCAGTGAGTTTCTCTTTCTGCATACTTTGTTTCGTTCGTCCTTCAGAAAAAAAGATTTTAAGGTTGATTTGGGCATATCTTTTTACCATGGGTTTCTCGCTTCTCTATCTGTCATCATTGTGTCGGAATTGGGCGACAAAACCTGGTTCATAGCCGTAATTATGGCAATGCGGCATTCGAGGCTTACCGTGTTCTCTGGAGCTATGGCAGCACTTGCGCTGATGACTGTTCTCTCAGGTAAATAATGTTGCTTTTACCTCCGTTCTTAAAAAATGTCTAACAACTTCGAACAACTTGTTTGTCAGTTCGTTGCTTAATTAATAATAGAAATATCATAGCTCTATTTTTGCTGGTAAGCAGGAAATAAGCATGAAAACCATGCTAGTATAGATTTTCATCTACAAATGGCAATGTATTCAGCGCACTAACTCTTCGTTTTATTTATCCTGTTCAAGCTGTCAAACTGTCACTCATGTTGTCTTCTTGAATAATTATTAGTCATTGTTGGATAGCTATGGTCATTTTCAGCTTGTCTCGGATGGGTAACACAGCTGATTCCACGTAAGGTGACATACTATGTGTCCACTGCACTTTTTGCACTTTTCGGGCTGAAAATGCTCCACGAAGGTTACCATATGTCAGCCAGTGAAGGACAGGTTAGCCTAAAGATTTCCTTCATTTCTTTTCTGTTTCAAAAAACGCCTTGCTTTCCTTTGAGTTCTAAACAAGGGTTTCTAGGAGGAGTTTGAGGAGGCACAAGCAGAGGTGGCAAAACGAGAGATGGATTTGGATGCCGGAAAATTTATAGATATGGAGGCTGGTAATGCTGGACGTACTAGGTAATTCTTACTGATTATCGTTTCACATTCATTCTTTATCAAACGAATAAATTTGAAAAATTTTCAGTAGTTCTTCGTCTGCATGGCTAATTTTCTCATTTGCATCCCGAATTTTTATCGAAGCTTTCACAATGACATTCGTTGCCGAATGGGGAGACCGTTCTCAATTGACAACTATCATTCTCGCTGCACGGGAGAATATAGGTGCCTTTTTTTTTAAATCTCATCATTGTCAGGCAAGCAATTGCATATTCAGGGGGTGTGATCAGCGGAGGCATACTCGGTCATGCTTTTTGCACAGGAATAGCTGTAGTTGGAGGCAAATTAGTAGCACAGCGAATCTCTGTACGAACAGGTAATCATCGAAATCTCTTTATTTCGGTTTTCTTGACTATTCCTTTAAGCATTTTGTGATTTCCATGATCTTTTAATAGTACTTAGCTTCCTGTTTTCAGTCACGCTCGTCGGAGGTGTTGTTTTCTTAATATTTGCTCTATCGTCACTATTCATCAGTGATCCTGATGAGTCATTATTACGGGTCGAATAGTTTGTTTTTCAAGAGATTCTCCGTATAGCACAAACCCAATAATGTAGTGGTTCTAGTACATTTATACTCTAGGCTGTTAATAGCTTTTCTCGTCGTAGCAATTCTTAAAGCATATTATTGGAGTGGTGCAAAAATAATGGCAGATTTTGTTAGTTTCGTTTTTATTCCTCGAAAATATGGTAGGGCAGCCATTGCGGTGTCACGCCTTCCTTTCGACGGTTTATTTAAGAAGGAATGGAGGCTCGATATTCAATTCATGAAAAGCTGCGTCGAAGCAGGGAGCTGGATTTTTCACCCACTTTTGACTTTGAGCCCTCATGTACAGGTGGCAATCCCCTTTTCATGGTCATCAATGCCGTTTAGCTCCAGTTTCTAGGAGATTTGACAATTGTTAAATCTTTAAAAANAAAAAGGGGCTTCCTAAACCACTGAAGAATTAGCTTCGAACGAATTAGCGAAACTGCTGTAAATTTGCACCCTTCTCGTTTTCCCTGATAAATTTGTGACGTGTAACTGCCAGTCAGTTCTTTTTATCTTCGTTTTATGATTGAATAACTAATAATAATTAATTTGATTGTACAGGTTTGACTAGCGTAGTGTTGCATATGTTTTAAGAGATTTTTTTGATTGCATGTGAGTGCTTTGAGACCACTCCAGGCTCCTGTGCATGGTATCTCGTTCTTTCATTTAAACGTTTTTGGATGGATAAACTTATTTGGTGCAAGTCACATATAACAGCTGGTGAGTGATTTAGTTTTCCTGGGGCTACTTTGTTAGTTCTTAACCCGTGTGCTATCTCAGAAATTGTTATTACTATCTCAAAAGGCTCAGACTTTACATTTTGACCAAAAGTAAGTGAACTGTTACCCTAATAGGCTAGAGAGCTGTTATTACACCTAACTGGACTTTTGGGTGATGTTTATTTTTTTGTAAACAAAGACTCGCCTAGTGTGTCTTTTTTTCTTGCTATTTGTTTTCTCTTTTTGGTGGTAATAGGACTGTCTGAAGACCCCCCCCCCCCNGCTGAGATTTGAAAGGGTTTCTAGCCTATTTCCTCAGGAACAGGTTGTGAGCCCTAAACATCACACCTTCCTCTCTAGAGTAGTGAAAAGGCTTTCGTACCCGCCTCACTTTTCCCTTTTTGGGAAGATAATCAAAAAGGTGTCCGTTTGCATTTTTTCATGGCTTTTCCCATCTGGTGTTAGAGAGATGTTTCAAGTAACGATTTACGAAAAAGCGATTAGTACTTGTTATACCTTAGTGGCTTTGTTTGTGAGTTTTGTGATACGTTTCGGACATGCTCTGTTCCTTCACTTATAGACTTTGTTAAGCAGAGATGTTCGTTCAATTGAAGTAATCGAATTCGGAGGCTATGGGTGCGATAATAAGGGTGATCAGGTGGAAAGCAGAGGTGAGAGTGGTGCGGGAAAACCAGCGAACGCTATAGTGCTCCAATTCTTCTAGTCACTTGCCTTCAATGTTCAATCGACACGTCCATTAGTGGGTAGGGAGGCATTTGGAGGCATGTAAGCTTTAGAGCACAGTAATGTTAGCGTTAGCGCTCTCAATCACATTCTCTCTTTGCCTGTATTCCCTGTTTCCGGACATAACCTATCGTACCCATTGCCTTTCATAGATGCCTCCTCGAATGTTTTATCAAAGCGAATGATTTGGTCCATTTATCGAATTTTCATGGAAAGAAATCAATTTTGTTGTTCTCGCCTTCAAGGTGATTTTCTGGACAATTCTGAATAAAAGTTTTTTAATAGCTGTCACTTGGGCACAGGAGGTGAGGTCATTTTCGAAATTTTTTTTGTGTGTTATTCCGTTAGGTCGCACATTCCCCTACCGCAATGAGTGGGTAAATGCCAGTTTCTTCTCGAATGAATATATTATTTGGTTAGTGCCATATGGGAAGGCAATTGAAGAAGAAGCCTGAACCCACCCGGTAGACCTTTACTATTAACCCTGGTAATTTTGAGTTCAGCCGTGTTTCTGTGAATGTTTTTTGGGTTTAGCCATGCATTTCTCTCTGCTGATCGAATGACGGAACTCATTAACAATGCATGTTCGTCACCTGAACAAAGAAGAGGGCAGTTGTTCAGCCATCCTTTTTCAAGTAATAAAACATTCGTGACAACATGGACAGCTGAGACGTTTAACTTTTGGGTTCGTCATAAGTGACGTAAAGTTCATCATAAAAGCTCATATTACCTAGGTTGAAAAAACCCGAAATCGATTTTCCACTGCGTAGAAAGATTGTTGATCTGAATGGAACGAGAATAAAGAGGAGGGCAGGCTGATCAAGGAGAATTATCTTGGTTAGAGAGGCTCTGGTCTTCTACGTAGGGGTACATCTCCCTACAGTACGCAGCTGGCTCGCTTGGCGTACACTCTAGCCACCACCGAAGAAAACCAAACCCATTGAGGAGGTCAGAAATTGTGACCAATACTTTCATTTCTTATGTGGGCAAGTTTGGGGTCAAGCCGTCCTTGAACTCGATCTGAAGAACCAGTGGTTCAAAGGGACTGATCAACGTCAGGTTCTTTATCTCTGTAACCTTCCATCTCTCTTATGGGTGTACTCACATCATGCTGAGAAATGGTCTGCTCAAATTACACCACAGTTCATGTCTTTTTATCCGGCTTTTACGAGTTTTTTTTGCTTCTGAATGCATTACCGTATAGTGACAAGGACTTTCTCCAGTATTACTCTGCCACGGTCGTAGTGGATTCGCTTCGTTGAAAAAGGCATGTAAGACTCACAACAAGATCGAATTATTCGGAGATCTGAGATCGGCGATCGACTTTCAAGGCTGTTGATTCGTATGTGTAGATAAGAAAAGAGAGATTGGTTGAACTCGAGAACGTGAAAGTGAGCATATGACGGTCCTCCAAGGTTAGGCCGGTCCCCTCTGATTGTAAGGATCGAAGTTTTATGTATGTATTCTCAGTTTATAAATCAAAATCAAAATTGAAGGAAAACGATGGAGGGTATTGCCACGACTTACTCTTATCTATAGGTTACCAATCCATGTAAGCAACAAGTTCAGGTAGATGGGTAGCAAACGAACTACGGACTAGATAACTATTCATTTTTACATTTTTAGAATTGGAAATTGGTAGGTGAGTTGATAGAAGACTGAGTTTTTTTGAAGTTTTGTGCTATTATGGGGAAACTTGTTGACAGTATCCATTTAGTGAATTGAAATACCGTGGAAGGAACGGTAGTACAGCTACAGCAGCGATGAACTCCAGGTGCCGTTTTGGCTAGTATTTTTTCAATTTTCACTAAAAATTTCCGTCAGAGGGCTCCTCTATGATTTCTACTTGCTCATGCGATGGGCTGGTGCCCTGCAACAGCCGTCGAACCCACTTTTTCCCACTATCCACTCATTTTCTACACGTGCTCGTATCTATTCGGGCCACAAGCATTCCCAGAGGTGAAGAAGGCTGCTCGGTGTGGGGCTTCTACAGTAGTATAGCAGTAGCATTATGCAATCATAAGTAGGACATGTCTTGAAATTAATACCGTAAGCTGGCTTGGCTCCCCGGATTTCCTGGAGGGTGGCTTTTTCTAACCATAACCATGGGTACTGGGACAGGACAGGTGATAGAGATGATTGACATATTGAGGGGGTAGTTTGTCTGGTGAAACGTAAGGATCCTTGAAGGAAGCCTATCCATTTGACACTTCCTATATGGTGCTCCTGTCTTGTTATGATGGTGGGCCCTTGCCTCGTCCATGTCGACGCAGAAAATCAAGCTTCTCAACTGTAATCCAAAACATGATCGGTCCTTCCAAGCAACTGTAGGAGGGCGCCCACATGAACGTTAGCGCGTTCACGTGGAAGTGGGCATCCTCCACTAGCAGGTTGCTCGAAGATACCGTGCTCACGTGCAGAAGCACCTCCTGGCAAACACTGAAGGAACAACTGGGTTCGGTGCACTCAGAGCCAGCCCACTCCCCCTAGGCTCTCCAATGTTTCACAGCAAATGAATAATGCCCAATACCTAGCCTTTTTGCCAACTTTTCCCGCCCAGAACCTTCAAGATGATTCATAGGATAATCATTGTACGTGGGCAGAGTACTACCTCATGCGGAAAATTCGGAGTACTTACTGTTTACAATTTACAGTTTACAACATAGGATAATCATTGTACGTGGGCAGAGGACTACCTCATGCGGAAAATTCGGAGTACTTACTGTTTACAATTTGATCTCGTCATGGCAACTGCTGATCAGTGATCACGACTGGGACTCCCGCAAAAACATCCAAAAAAGGAAACATCTGTGATCGATCGGCAGTGCGACTGACACCCTTCGGAAGTTGTGCCTTCCATCCAGTCCGTTCCCATACCAGTTTATGGCATTCCTTCATAGTCATAAGACCTATTAACTTCCTTCGTTTTCTTCAATTCATGACTTTGTTGCTGAATTAATCCCTTACATTTGATTCTGAGTAGGCACTCTGGCCAAGACGGTACAAAAAGCGGGTCAGTCCCAAGAAATAATTTCATTTTTTTGTACCAAAGTATAAATTTGTTTATTTACAAATTTGTTTGGGTTTTTGATAACCTACATTGGAATTTTTTGAAAATTAGTTCAAAAATCAATCTAAAAACCAGCAGTCGAAAAAAAATTGACATCGTGTAGATCTGATGAAGCGACTGGGCCAAACGTTGTGGAAGCCCAAAGAATGCAAGCAGCTCGTAATGAACCGTTACCCAGTCAGAAGTGTTTCAAGGATACTCTGCCAAGTTGTGTCACTGCGGTCAATATGGACAGAAGTTCGGAGGATAGTACAGGAAATAAGGACGGCAAAAATGATTCCCTAAGTAGAGAGTAAGTTGGAGTAAACTTTGGGTTTGGTGCAAATGCGATCGATCTCGATCGAGCTCGGGCAGATATGTAGTTCTTCTTTCTTTTGCCTGAAAAATTGAACTATCAGTTTCGATCTTGCCTAAACCGACGGTAATTTTTCAATGCGCTTCCCGTTTATTTTACGGTGGAAATGTAGTTGGGTTAGGGAGGGGGGCTCCCCTTTTCTCCAAGATTGAGCGCTAGAGCGCAGAGCAGGAGGGGTAGCCGACTTTGCAAGCCCATAGTGATGTTTATGAATGATTCTCACTTGGTAAAATTAATAATTTTCACCTAATTTTACTTAAGATGGAGGGAGCAACGGGGCGGGTGAAGGTGAGCTACTCCTCCTTCTCTGCTCTTTCAACGTTGCCGGAGAGAGGGGTTGCCCCCCCCCCCCCCCCCCCCCNCCCATTTACAATTAGCACAATGAGGTATTGTTCAACTGAAAAAGAGACAATGTTCCTCTAATCCTGTCTCAGACGACTGGGTTCTCCGTCCGTCTTTCCTTTCGCTCCTTTCCTTTCTCATATTCCATATGCCTTTACTTCAGTAAATCATAAAGTTCCTATAAAAGGATATTTGTCAAAGGAAGTGGAAGGTATGGTTTTTTGGATTTTTTTTGAGTTTCCAACGAAACTGAACTAACTTTTTATCTTTTTGTCCTTTTTGTCTTTGTCGCATAGAATGGTTGGATAGGCGCTATCAAATTTACATTTCCGATGTCCTTATCGCTTTCAACAGATAGAAAAAGCAGTTTCCGTGATGCTTTTTTTCTCTGAGACATATTATTACATCATATGGCAAACTCTCTATTCCATGTCGATGGCTGATTATCGAGATGGACAGGGATTCATGAGCTCAACAACTGTTGGTACCAAGAAGAAAATGCTTTTCGACTAGCATGGGATCGATAGAAAGGCTTCATGCGATCGATTACATTCTTTGTATACACATCGGCTGTAAACAAGACGCTGGGGATAGTGTCTTTCCGCAAGTTAGTGATTCTGAAATCGATTGAATCGATTCAAATCAGACCTTCTGCTGTGGAAATTTTTCGCAAATCGATGCTTTTGGCATTGATTCAAAACTTGCCATTACGGTAGCAAATTCCCGGAAGTGAATGATTCAGAATTCGATTCAAATTTGTTGCATAACGGTGGTGATTTTCCGTAATCTGATGGCTCAGGAACTGGTTCCAATCTAGCCCATTATGGTTAGTACAAACCGATTCAATGGAATTTCAAGGAAATGGTCTGTGAACCAACATTGTCCATCTTCTTACCGTTTTCTGGGAGACTGTACAAGCCCTAGTATGTCTCCGTTTTTTTTGAATAATCCCTCCGTTTTCTCTTCTTACAATGAGAGCTGATGCTCGCTGAGGCCTAGGCCTGTTGCTATATTCCTTCCTTTCACTCTTCATGACATACCTGAGTGTATAGCACTCAATATCACTCTCCCTTGCCAGTTAACTCATTTTGTAAGTACGAGTTTTTCTGTAACAGTCATCCAGAAAGAGAGCTTTTGATCTCACACTTAGCCTGGACTTAGAGTCGCCTGAACCACTATTCATCACATGTTCGTTTTCATGAATCGTAAATGAAACTTATTTCGACCAAACTAATTTCACAGATTTGTAAAGAAACAGTCCACAAAAGGAATGGTTTCTGAGAATTTCTTCTTGGATGGGCCTATGGCCCCCAGAAACAGTACATGGGATGTTGTCGGGTCGTATAACGGCTTAGACAGTGCTATATAAGGGCCCCAAAAATGGTCTGGCCGACGTACACACCCAAAGTGGCCGTATTGTGCCGGCTCTGCTGAAAGTTTAGAACTCCGACGAATAGCACGCTCATGTGGGAGATACCCAGACGGTCATATAAAGCCATCTTGTACAACCCCCTTTTTTATTACTTTTTTAAAGTCTTGTATTTTTTGAGATCGTGATTTTTTTTAAATTAGTGCTTTCAGTCGAATTGGGACCCGAGATGAACACGTATTTAGGGCGGCCGGCCGGGGGTGTGGGGAAGGGGGGNNNGGGGGGGACTAAGTCCACTGTGCTCTGCGTCTTCTTCAACACTAAGCGTTAGACCACAGAGAAGAATGGTTCGTCGGCATTGTATCGGGCCTGTGATAGTGCTTGGAAGTTGTGTATAGCCTGGTGAACATGTTTTTTTGCCTAGGCCTCGGAAACGGGGGAGCGCCGAGTGGGTGCAGTGTCCACTGAGGGAAAAAAGTATTGATGTTCTGATGGAAATAATTTCTTTCCATTGAAATTTGTACAAAACAGTATAGCAACAAATGTAAAATAGCAGAGCAAAGGTCAGTTGCTCGGCTCAGTTGCGAACAAGACCATCAATTATCTTAGTTCTAGGAAAAAACGACATACTGGGATTCATAAACAACATGCAGTAATGTAAACAGACTCGTTGAGCTCCGAGGGTGGCTGGGTGGCTTCTCCGCCATTTTCTTCACTTCATTCGCTGTTCAATTCTTTCATAAGGCCGTGCGACGAAACAAATTGGCAGCGATTCTTAATAAAATGTGACATTTTCTAATTCCCATAGAACCGGCTCGAAATTGTCTTCCGCTCATTTGTCAACCACTCAAGATTACTACTCAAACTGTCTTACTATCAAGGAAAAATCTCCGATTCTTCTTCCATACATTCCAATTATGTTGCGATTGTTAACGTCCTCTAAAACGCTTTTCAGTCTGCTCTATGAAAAATTCCAATCTCAGGCCTCCTCTGACCTTAGGCCCTGAACTTTTTTTGAGCAAAACAAGAACAAATCGAAAGACTTCCAACCGTTTTTGACTCTTTAGCCGGTTGGAGGCTTCGCTTCCTCATAAAAGGCGAGGACGCTAAAAGTTCAGTCCAATAAAAGGGTTATAGTAGCCGTCGATGGCCAGTTAGATAATTGAAGTCTGCACTTTTCGTTCTTCCCTCTTGCAAAGACATATGACGACGACCAGAAGATTTTGAAAATTTTCGAAAATGCACTTTTTAATCATTATTCAGAAGTTTTTTCCTTAATTTCTAACGGAGTCGGGCATCTATACGAATTGGAGCATTTGCTAGCAGGGCCAGCATGACGACCTCATCAATTTGGATGTTTTTCGCAGTGATTTTGTTTTCAATCACCTCACGACCGCCTTTACGTCTATTTGTGTAATCGTGATTTATTCCCCAAGAAAATAAAGCTCCTAGAAGTGGATTAACCCCACACTGGGATGCGCCCCTCACTCGACTTCCCCTCATAATCGCACCAAGTGCGTATGTGGCCCACTCAATTATTTCCGGGATAGTCACCCGATGATCTTATTTTGGTGTTTTCACCCTCCCAGACGAGCGTGGTACCAGTTTCCCGATCCCGGAGAATGGAATGCCTGATTGACTAATCGGTCTGGCATTCGCTTTCGGGATCATCCATATAACACCACGCTAATTGGCACTACATTACCTCCATCCATTTTATAGGGACCCATGGTAATTAAACTGCTGGCCGAGCCGTTGAGAACCTTTAGTTTGGCTCGAAGAAGGGGTGAATGGGTCCCCATAAAAATTTATGTGGCTGTTCTTTCAGCGATTCTTAAGGCTAAATACTCCCACTCATTCAGCTGCCCATTCAGACTGGTAGTGCCATTCTGGGACTGGCGAGGATGCTATTTCTGTTGCTGTACTTCTTGCTTTCAGCACTGATTCTTCTTGTTCCTGAACTGAACTTGAACTCTTGAGCTCGAGTTCCTCGCGGCTGTGACAGACAAACAAACTTGTTCTTCACACAAGACGGCCCTCCTTCTTGAACATCGTCTTGTCGCTGATTGTCGCCCATGGATTCTCAATAAACCCCTAGTTATTCCTGGTTTATTCAGTGATTTCCATCCAGTGCGAAATGTTGCACTTGTTCAATGACCGTATTCAGCGAACATAACGGACTTATATTAATTCTGAATCTTGAATGCAATCCATCATTCAGCAAAAAACTTCCATTGTCACCGCCATATGATTGATATCGATATGTTCTTCCAGTGATCCCGTTCTCTGATTTCGGTCTCCATCTATCATATCATCACCTCTCGACAAAAACCTAGCCAAATCTTGACAAACGTTCGATTCACCTTCTAATCCAACATCCTGAATGAAGCGTAGCTGTTTTTGTGTCACTCATTTTCAGCCTCTGTTGGATAGCTTCCAAAGGATCGGTCTCTATTGGATTTCAGTGACAACTGACAACCTTCCCTTGCCTCCCTAATTTTTATTTGATGGTTGTACCTCTTTGTAAGATTTCCTCTGTTTGGTGGAAGCTTCATCAAAGCAATTTCGATTCTCATGCTATTCTGAGAGGTTTAAATGAAATTTCTTCTACAGAACGGTGTGTCCCTGCTTGTCTTTCAGCCAACGTTTGTCTTGAGTGTCTCGGCACGTTGTTTCCCCTTTTCCTTGAAACCTGCACTAGGTGTGAACTTTGAAACGCTCAAAGTTCTCAAAGTTCACATTCAGGGTGGGCCTGATGGCCTAATGCTCAGCAATTTTAGGATTAGTACTTGTCTTCCTCGAAAACACTACTTCTATCATTCTTTTTTAATTTGTTTCTTTTATTCAGAGTTTGAACTGATATTTACGCTTTCGATTTTCC